TCTCAAACATAAGCTTGAAGCAGAGAGAGTAGATCGGAAGTGGCACTAGGCATTAAATAGTAAAACCCACCTCCAGTGTCTTCCTCCCTCTTTCCTCCCTCCCTCCCTTCCTTTTTAGATTTCTCACAGAATTTATTTACATAAAAATAATTTTAAGCTAAATACTTTAAGAATTAAATGATGATAAAAATAGTCCCACAAAAGCCCTAATAATATTTTTACTTACATCAACTTTTCTTTCTTAAGATTATAATTTAATTACATTTCTCCCTTCCCTTTCCTTCCTCTAAGCCCTCCCACATACCCTTCCATGCTCTCCCTCAAATTTATGGCTTTTCCCCCCACTGATTGTTATTGCATATATTCCTAAATATAACCTTTTCAGTCCATACAATTCTACCTGTGTGTATGTTTTTAGGGCTATTTGGCACATGACAACCAATTGGTGTGCTCTTCCCTGGAGGAGGCCACCTTTCCCATTCCTGGCTTTTCTCAGTTGCCTATAGTTCTTTGTGTAGGGTTGAGGCTTTGTGGGATTTATCCCATCTACTTAGGCATGTTGTTGTTGTCCTTGTTCAGGTCATGTATGCAGGTAAGAATTTAATGGGTGTAGCTTTTGATATTACTAAGAAACAAAATAATTCATGGATTTGATAATCTTTCCATTTCATCTTCCACAGTGTTCTCTGAGCCTTAAGCATGGGAGTATTTTGTAGATGTGTCCATTGGACTGGGCTCCATAACTCTGCATTTTTATTGGTTGTGGTTTTTTGCAGTGGTCTCCTTCTGTTTCAAAGAGAAGTTCCTTGATGAGAAGTGAAGACTAGGTTAGTTTGGTTTTTTTTTTTTTTTTAATAACATAATGGCAACTTATACTATATTATACAATGTCTGGTTAAGGTAACTGTCAATAAATGTTTACTGAATAAATGTGTGTGGAATTCAAGATAACTTGATTTAACCTCAATATTAAAGAGCATTTAAAGTATGTATGTATATAAAGCTGTATCAGATATAAAATTATTCAAAGGGAAAATAAACCATTGTTTTTAAATGGATGTATGCTCATCAGTTTCTCCTCTATTTTATTGTTATATACAAATCACCCTCTTTCTATATGTGTATGTACCTGATTTTCCTTTTTACTCTAGTGGATTTACTAAACTTTTTATATTGTTTTGGTTTTTATTGAGTGTGCACACTTATATGTACCTGAAGAAAACTTTTATATATAAAGAATTTACTCTATTTCAAAACATCTATAGGATTTTTCTCAGATTAGAGTTATTTCATGTTAGAAAAATAATACTGTGACATATAAAGGCTTTACAATATGTTTACACTCACAGAAGTTCTATTTTGTATTATCTTTTATTATTGTCTTCAATCCTATATAAAGAAGTCGTTTTAGTAATTATTTCATTTTTTTAAGAGAAATGTATATTAGGACTGGAGAGGCAGCTTGGTGGTTATGATCACTAGCTTCTCTTAAAGAGGGGCTGCATTGGTTTGCCAGGACCTATGTGGTGGCTCACAACTGTCTGTGGCTTCAGCTCCAGGATATCTAACACCCTCTTCTGGCCCCACAGGCATAAAGCGCATACACACTGCATACATACATCCATTCAGGCAAACATTTGTCTACATGGAAATAAAAATAAGCAAATCTTAAGGAATTGTCATGCTTGTGCTGATAAGACCTGGTGAATCTAATTCCAACAAAAGAAAATACATCTGTTGAGGGCAGAAATGTGCCATTACATCGATGTTTTGTCTGCCAGATACCTTGCATGTGTTCTTGTCTCATTCACACACGGATTAGTGTGTGTCATAATAGCAAGTCACAGCCATAGAAATGAGTAGAAAATTCTACAAAAACCACTCTTCTTTCAAAATGTTCTTCCACAAACCAGTTGATAAATTCTTGAAAAGATAAGACATTTTTGTATTTGATAAAAGCAAGAAAGCAAAGTATTTGTGTAAAACTTACCAAAACTGCTTGTAAAAACATATGTATATTTGTAAAACAAAAGGTACATTATTATAATCTAAAAGTAGCAGCCGTTCTATATAGCACTAGTCTAAGTAAAGATATTAAAATTTAGAAATAAACATATTAACATCTATATTTTCATTATTCTTATTCAAAAGGATAGCAATCCTGTATTTTTCAATATCACCTTCATTTTTTAATTGGTATTTTGCATTGTGATCTAAAAGCAGCGACGCCTGAGGAGAGATTTCAAAAATAATTTTAGTCTGTTTGCCTTATTTGTTTCTAAAACTAAAGGATTTATATTTTCCCCTAATCGTGTTAAGAAGCCAACTTTTCACTTTGTAATTTCCTAGAGTTACTGTGCCAAGGGGAAAAAAAACTATTATTATAGAGCAGTACCTACAACTGCTCCAAGCAGCTGTTGGATTGGCAGCTCTTTGGGGAAATAATGTGCTTTTCTTCTTTCTTCCTTTGTGTTTCAGCTCCAATAGTACTGACTGTGCCGCCCCATTTACTTCTCATGTGAAAGGAGCTGAACTTGACAAACTAGTCTAATAAGTAAGGTAATTTAATTTGAAAAATTTTAGTGATTTCAAGAAGAAAGATAATGAAGAGATAAAGAAATAATCTTTGCTCTCCTGAAATCAGTATGTCTGACTCAGCTCAGAGACAACAGTATTGTCTTAGCACATTTACCAAGCTGAGTTTGAACACAAAGCAACACAGAACCCAGGAAAGGGCTCCTTCCCAGACAGTGATCGCTAGTCTTGGTTGTCAACTTGACTACATCTGGAATTAACTAAGACCCCAGCAGCTGGTTATACCTGTGAGGATTTTTTTCTTAAATCATTTGAAATATAAAGACACTTTTAAAAATATTCTTTTCTCATGCAGTATATCCTGACTATAGCTTCCCCTCCTCCCACTCCCCCCGGTTCCTCCTCCCCTCACCTCCAATCTGGATCCACTCCCTTTCTGTGTCTCATTAAAAAAGAACAGGCTTTGAAAAGATAACAACCAAATGTGATAAGACAAAAATAAAATATAATAAGATGAAGCAAAAACTCTCATATTGAAGTTGGACCCAGCCAACCCAACTGGAGGAAAAGAGTCCCAGGAGCAGGCAAAAGAGTCAGTCAGGAATCCCATTAAAATACTAAGCTAATAACTATAGTATTTATCCAGAGGAGCTGGTGCAGACCCATGTAGGCCCTGTGCTTGCTGTTTCAGGCTCTGTGAGCTTATATGTGCCTTGCTTAGTTGATTTAGAGAGTCATGTGCTCCTGGTGTCCACCATCCCATCTGGCTCATATAATCTTCCCTCAACCTCTTCCAAGGGATTCCTTGAGCTCTGAAGGGAAAGATTTGATAGAGACTTCTACTTTAGACTCTCTGTCCACTTAATGTCTCACTGTGTCTCTGCATCTGTTCCATCTGCTGTGGAGGAAGCTTCTGTGGTGATATTGTGTTCCCCAAAATATTGTGCACCCTAATAAACTTATCTGGGGTCAGAGAACAGAACAGCCACTAGATAGACATAGAGGCCAGAAAATGGGGGCACACACACCTTTAATCCTAGTATTCCAAAGACAGAGATCTGTCTGGATCTCTGTGAGTTCAAAGCCACACTGGAAACAGCCAGGCATAGTGACACATGCCTTTAACCCCAGGAAGTAAGTGAGGCTTTAATCCCAGGAAGTGATGGCAGAAAGCAGAAAGGTATTTAAGGTATGAGGACCAGGAACTAGAGCCTAGTTATATATATGTGTGT